GGTCGGGTGTACAGACACCCTAGTAGCAGCAGCAGCACGGGCAGCTCTACTGCAGCAGTTGTGTCTGCGGAAGCCCTAGCAGCAGCAGCAGCAGAACTGTCGATGCTGCAGCTTCTAGGTGTACGTACAGCGCAGCAGCTGCAGAAGCGTTGTCGCTGCAGCAGCAGCAATGAGGTGTACGTACACCCCAGCTGCGGGTCTTACTCTGCAGCGCGGAAGTTGGGGGGTACGTACACTTCACTGTCTGCTGAGAACTTCATGACAAGACAAGCGGGGTAAATATATGCCCGCAGCAGCAGCAGCAGCAGCGGACATAGCAGCTGCAGCAGCAGCAGCTGCTCCCGCGGCTGCTGCTGCCGCGGCTGCTGCTGGGGGCCCTCGTAGGGGGGCCCCGGCTGGCCCGCTCAGGCGTTGGTGAAGCGAAACCCTAAAATGGGGTTTAATTTTCTTTTATATGAAATTAAATGTTTATTTATTTTGAATTCCAAAAATAACTTATTTTTATCTAATTTCCAGTTTGCACGGCTGGGCTGGTGAGGTGAACCTGCGGCTGCCTCTCCCCTCCAAACCCTAAACCCTAAACCTTAAACCCTAAACCCTAAACCCTAATTCATGCTTGGGGTCCTCGGCGGAGCTTGTGGCGCTGGCGGACGCGGCGTCGGGCTCGCGAGCCAGCGCTACGGGGCTGACGCGGACGCCTAAACCCCAAACCCCAAACCCTAAACGCTAAACCCTAAACCCTCGGAATGGGGCTGCTGGAGCTCTGGGAGGCTTTGCCTGCATCACTGCAGCAGCGGCTTTCTCGCTTCCGGTGTACGTACACCCGGTACAAGTTCAAAGTCCTCCGCTTCGACCGCCGCACAGGCTTCTTCAGCGCAGGTGAGCGCAAACCCTAAAAAAGGGTTTAGGGTTTTCCGCCCAAACCCTCGAGCCGACGCGGCTGTGCGAGCCTCCCGCTGTGCCGCTGCTGCTGCAGCTGCTGCAGCGAGCCCGCGTCTGCGGCGTCCGCGCTGCCGCAGCAGCAGCCACTTCCCACCCACCCCAGCAGCAGCAGCAGCAGCAGCAGCAGCAGCAGGGTGGGGTTTGTGCTGCTGCGCTGCTGCAGGGCTGCCGATGGCGCTGCTGGTGAGCTCCACTGTTGCTGCTGGGACTTTCATTTTGGACAAACAAATGGAAGTTCGTTACTGGCGGCGGCAGACACTTTCCGAGAGAGAGCTGCAGCAGCAGCAGCAGCGGCAGCAGCTGCTGCTCTTCCTCGAGCAGACGACGCCCCCGGAGCAGCTCGACAACTCCGTGCCCCTCCCCGGCAAAGACTGAGAGCAGCAGCAGCAGCTGCTGCTGCTGCGGAGACCGCAGCAGCAGCAGCTGCTGCTGCGGTCTCCGCAGACGACGCAGCAGCACAGAAGCAACTGCAGCAGCAGCAGCTTGTGCTGCGGCTACGCTGCAGCAGCAAGCGCAGCGCCAACGGATACCACAGCAACAATGCACTAGAAGATAGTTGCAGCAGCAGCTGCTGCTGCAGCAAAAGAAACTACAAAGTCCTTCTCCGTTACAGCCAAAAAAGAGGGACGCACGCGCAGCAGCAGCAGCTGCTGCAGCTGCAGCGACGTATATGACGAGCAGCAGCTTAGCAGCGCGGGGTTTCTAAGCGCTGCTGCAGTCAGTCAGTCAGTCCCACAACAGCAGCAGCAGCTGCTGCTGTTGCAGCAGCAGAACCGAGCACCCTGCTGCTGCTGCTGCAGCAGCAAGTGCCACAGCAGCAGCAGCAGTGCTGGGCCAACTACTGCTTGAGGGGCTTAAGGCCCAGATTTTGCCGAATAGAATTCCACTGGGAGACCGACAACTCGCCGTCCCTTTGCTTCTCCGTCTGCTTGCTGCTGCTGCTGCTGCTGCTGCTGCTGCTGCTGCTGCTGCTGCTGCTGGCGTCTCGGCGGTCCCTGTGGGCCTTGGCCTCGCGTCTCCTGTCTCTGTCTCTGTCTCGCAGTTCCCTCTCTCTGTCTCTTCTCTCTCTGTCTCCTCTGTCTCCTCTGTCTCTGTCTCCTCTGTCTCCTCTGTCTCTGTCTCTATCTCTGTCTCTGTCTCCTCTGTCTCTATCTCTGTCTCTGTCTCCTCTGTCTCTGTCTCCTCTCTCTCTGTCTCCTCTCTCTCTGTCTCCTCTCTCTCTGTCTCTGTCTCCCCGATCTCTGTCTCTGTCTTTATCTCTATCTCTGTCTCTGTCTTTATCTTTATCTCTATCTCTGTCTCTGTCTCTGTCTCTATCTCTGTCTCTATCTCTGTCTCTATCTCTGTCTCTGTCTCTATCTCTGTCTCTGTCTCTGTCTCCTTTATCTCCTTTATCTCTGTCTCTGTCTCTGTCTCCTTTATCTCTATCTCTGGCTCTATCTCTATCTCTGTCTCCTCTGTCTCCTTTATCTCTATCTCTATCTCTGTCTTTATCTCTGTCTTTATCTTTATCTCTATCTCTATCTCTATCTCTATCTCTATCTCTATCTTTATCTCTATCTTTATCTCTATCTTTATCTCTGTCTTTGTCTCTGTCTCCTTTGTCTCTGTCTCCTTTGTCTCTGTCTCCTCGGTGGCTGAGTTTGTCTCCTCTGGCGAGCTCCCCCCTCTCCGCCTTCTCCCTCTCTCTGTCTCCTTTGTCTCTGTCTCCTTTGACAAAAGCGTCCCCTTTAGCAGCAGCAGCAGCAGCAGCAGCAGCAGCAGCAGCAGCAGCAGCAAAGGGGTCTGCGCGGAGTTCGTGGCCCGTCTCTCGGTCTCTGTGCTTTTCCCTGGAGAAGTTGCCGTCCCTGCAGACTTCGTGGACTTGGTGAACTTTATTGTTTTTCATTTCTTTATTCATTTCTTTATTTGTTTCTTTATTTGTCTCCTTATTTGTCTCCTTATTTGTCTCCTTTTCGCGGAAGCAAAAGTCCTGCTTCCTGCGTTTGTCGTCGGGGGCGTTTTCGCGCTCGAGGAGGCGGGCCTGCCTTGCTGCTTCCCTCTCGCGCTGCTGCTGCAGCTGCCTGTCCCTTTGCTGCAGCACGCGCTGCTGCAGCTTCTGCTGCTGCTGCTGCAGCAGGCGTTTGCTGAGCAGCAGCGCGTGCGCCTGCGCGTCGGTGAGCGGCGGCGCAGCAGCAGCAGCAGCGCCCGCGCCCGCCGCTGCTGCTGCTGCTGCTTCCACCTCCAGCGCCGACGGCCGCAGCGGCTGCAGCAGCTGCTGCAGCACGAACACAGGCCGCTTCACCAACGGAGGAAAATCCACATCAAATAGACTATTATTTCGCAAACACTGGTCCACAAACTCGTCCATGAAAGACACCCGAAAGCTGCCGTCGCGCAGCCGCAGCCGCAGCTTGCGGTAGTCCGCGAGCAGCGGCTCCAGGTGTACGTACACCTCGGCGCTGGGCCCCACCAGCCGCAGGTAAAAGGCAGCCACCGCCCTCAGATATTTGAAGTCTTCTTGTTTGATGAACTCGAGAATGATCTCCTTCTCGGGCTGCAGCTGCAGCAGCTTCAGCACGAGACACAGGAAGGGCGAGGCTGCGCGGATGCCCCCGAAGGTCCCGCCCACGTACTGCAGCGCAGCAGCAAGCTCCGCCACCGTTGCTGCTGTTGCAGCAAAGCACTCTTCTTTCCAGAAGAAGCTTTCGTACACTTTCCGCCGCACTATCCGGCTGAACAGCAGCTGCGGGTTCTTCCCGTGCACCGCCACCGCGCTCGCGTCCGTCCGGTTCGCCATCCTGCTGCTGCTGCTGCTGCTGCTGCTGCTGCTGCTGCTGCTGGGGAGGGGAGGCGGCGGGGCGGCGGCCGCAAGTGCTGCTGGGCTGCTGCTGCTGCTGCTCCGGGGACTTGGAAGGGACTGAGCGACACGGAAAATCAGGGGTCGCCCGGAGCTGCGGCTGCAGATGCCGCTGCAGACGCTGCTGCTGCTGCGGTGCTGCGCCGGTCGCTGCTGCTGCTGCGGCAGCAGCACAGAGCAGCGCCACCCAGTGCACTGAGCCTCACTAGACCTGACGCAAAATCAAAAGATAACTCCCGTAAAACAAAACACAAGAATTGCTCCAATGCCCCGAAGCTGCTCCCAGAGCTGCAGACGCCGCCTGCTGCTGCCCGAGCGCCTCTCCTGCTGCTGCTGCATGCAGGCAACCACCAGCAGCAGCAGCAGCAGCAAGCTCCCAGTAAGCAGCGAAGAACAAGTTCCGGCGCATATTTTCCGAAGTTAATTGACAGGAGGCCTCACTTGAGGGCCCAATTGGCCGCCACACCATCCACGGCAGTTGCTGCTG